TTGCTCCAGCTTTCTATCTTTAACTTTGATTATCCAATCATAAAAAAATTGTGTGTCCTACCCTCGCAAGAGAACGTAGATTAATGCAATTTCATATTCTTCTTCAATATATAAACTTTATAATACGACCATTATTTTGAAGAATTGATGTTAGCAGTTACAATTTCTTATCTTGAAGCTTTGGGTAAAACGAGAAGAATTTATTGAAAATTACTCCCTCCGTCCTATAATGATCTTCCCAGAGCACTATTCCAACTTCACGGGAATTTATATTTATTTGTGTTTTTTCATGGCCAATATGATAAAATAAAATATTCTTGTCACCACTTGTTTTGTTGAACTTTTGATGTAGTTTTCAAATATATATGTTTTATTTTTCCTTTTTATACCAATATTTAAATAAAATAGATTGAAAAAACTTGGGATTTTTCTTCGTTTTGCGAACCGGGAAGATCATTATAGGACGGAGGGAGTATCTCATTTCCCGAGTGAATGTAGATGGTTGAATAATTCGCTGGTGAATGGCTACCGATAAGGTATCACCCCTGATCATAACTTCTTGTATGCCACTAATAATTGTTCCACTAACTTGATCTTAGTTGAACCGTATATCCATTAGATTTGTTGTGCTTCAACCATCCTGTATGTATCAACCAAAAACTGTAAATATAATCTTTGTGTAAGTAATAGAATACCATCATTTTTTCTCTTTTTTGTATTCAGATGCTTTACTTTTTTTGCTTAAAATTGATTCTCTTATATGGATAATTTCTTGATATCTATCATTCCCAAGAGACAACAACAAAAGATATCAAAGGATATCACAGAGGTATGAATGTAGAGTGTGTCACATGAATTTTTTTTGTAAGAATCCATTTCTTTTTGCGATAATTATGTTTCTTTCTTCATTAGATGAATCAAAACCTCCAACTATTAGATAAAGAAACAACTTCATCTACTGTGGGATTACTATAATTTCTCGACTCTCTAATTTTACTACTTAACAGCATCATTGACACGTTAGAAATGAGTTCATAATTCATGAAGTCTTTAGTTGTTTTAAATTTTTGTGCTTAAACATTATTTCCATCTATCATGATTTTTAAATTCTAGACTAAATTTCTATCAGTAGCCGAAAAATTATTCTCTCTACTCTATGAAACAAAGGTAACGATTTATTTTTGTTAATTATGTTCAATGAGTCTTGTATTGTCAAACACATGTAAATAATACATGTATTGAAAGGGTGCACTTAATAAAATATTTGAGATATCTGAAATGAGTCATTTTGCTTGATATTTTATTTTGTGTATCATAAATATATTATTGAGTAATCGTGGTCTTTCACCATCCTCTGTCAATAAAGATGTTATATGATGATGATTGTGGTCACTAAGAGTAAACTGCAAAGTTACCGCCACAATTCATTTGATGTTGCCATTCATTGTTCCCTCACGGTATCCCAGTACCGGGTGGCGATATCTAGGCACCATCTGTCGGTACAAGTATCGTGACAGGTACCATTGGACAATGACAGTTTGTTCTCGAAACGTTCAAACATTGAGGATGAGGTCCGAGACTATGTCTGTTACAAGATGGTAAGTTTGGGTGTAATACCCAATACTAGGCTACTACTTGTTATTGTGATTGTTTTGTGTTGATTCAACACGCATGTTATGATATGAACTATCTCTCTACTTGAACGCAGCGGTAAAGACAGACTGATCTAGCACGCCAAAGTATAGGTCATGTGGTGTTTATGAACACTACGAATGAGGTAAGTCTTCCTAGAAGAAAATTTAGGATTGACTTAGTATTAGGATAGCAGAAGGTAAGTCATGTGAAGTGTGCTGGGCTCAATGGCTAACCGGGTAAAAACATACGTATGAGTATTCTTCAATTGCATGGTGATCCATCAGATGGGGATTTCAGCCACCCAAGTGAAAACACATTCGTTGGTTGAGTATGACTCAATTATCGAATAAAAACAATCATGACCCCAAAATGGAGTCGTGAACGAGTAATTACATTTTCTTTTTTCTGGGTGAATTGTATTTTTTTTATGTGTTCTATTTTTGAATTTTTAGTTTACTTTTTAAATATTTGTATTGTCTAATTTTTCATCAATTAAAATTATACATGGCGAGGCGATGGATTTTACGCCAGACCGGGGGTCCTCCGTTCTGAGCTCTGACTTCTCATTTCAGTCGAACCCAATTTTCCAGCCACCGTCCCAGCCGGCGGCGACGGAGGGAGAAAAGTTTCTCATTTCCCTTTCAGCGCGTGCTTGATTCAACTCGAGCACTTGATCCATTTTACCCCCGTCACAATGGTATGCACTGATTTTGATCAATAGCTTTTGAAACTTCTTACAAATTCCTCTTCTTGAGAATCCGTCACGAATCTGTTTTTTATTATACATGAAATGTCCAGATCCGATTCATACTGCTCCAGAACCGGCAAGGGAAGACGCGATTGGCCAAGTATTACATTCCTCTCGAGGAATCTGAGAAGCACAAAGTCGAATACGAGGTACTGTGTGTGTGTCTAGACCTCTTAGTTGCGTTCGATTTCGACTTGTTTCTTGTTTTAACACCGACTGTCTGGGTTTTGCTTGCACGATCTGTTTGTTTAGGTTCACAGATTGGTTGTGAACAGAGATCCCAAATTCACCAACTTTGTCGAGGTGGGTATGCCAAATTATATGTTTTTATTCTATACATTCTTCATCCTCAGTGAGATATAGCTTCAACTTTCTTCTTGATCTGTATCCCTGTATATTCTGTAAGCACATCCCCCTCCCCCCGCTGTGCCAAAAGAAGGGTATAATGGCATTCACGTATTCGGAGTATCAGCTTATCTTAGTTCCAAGGATAATATTTGTACCGAGAATGAGGCAATGCTTAAATATGTTGCCTTTGAGGTGCATTTCAAAGTGCATGTATGATTAATTTGGCAGGATATGTTATACCAATAATACCATGAAGTTCAGAGTATATGGATTGTTTTGTTTGCACTAGAAATAGGACTCATAGGAGTGAAATCAACTTTCGCTTCTTGATTGGCTTTAATAGCTACAGATGGGAGAGGACACACACCAGTTCTCATATTCTGTTCTTAGCCTCTTGCTTTGTGAGGGAGCATAAAACTCAGGGATGCCTTTAAAGGGGAGCTGTTTTTTTATTTCATAAGAACATTGGGTTTATAAATTAGATTTTCTTTTTTAAGCATGTGAAATGGGACCTTTGGCGGTTTTCACGTTCTGACTGAGGTGTTGTCATGTGACCATGAGGTCATGGGTTTGAGTCTTGGAAGCAGCCTCTTTGTGAGTAAGCATTGGTTTAACTAGGAGATGGGTAGCTTATTCTGAAATCCAACTGATGGATGCCTGCACAAATTCCACTGTGTATTCCCTTAGCAGTACATGTTGAGTGGTCTTTGCCCAACAATTGTATTCTTCTTTTTCACACCATATTTTTTGTGTATTCATTCATCGATTTTATTTTATGAATTGGGTTTGAGTCTTGGAAGTAGTGTCTTTGTGAGCCAAGTAGTAAAGCTTTACAGCTTTGGTTAAACGTGTCTGTCACAAAGTGTTTATAGTTCTCCCTTAACCTTTTTCCCTTTCTGGATTTGTATTCTCAGTATTTACCGTGTAGTAAACTAGTACTCCCTTTGTCCGGATTGAGTTGTCCACTATTCTATTTAGGCTGTTTGGAATTATTTGTTCCCTTACATTAGTTATCATTAAAAGTTGGTGGAAGTACCAATATATCCTTGAAATGAAATAGACACTTGTACATGAACTTGGTGGTTGAAGAAGATGAGGAAATGGATTAGAGGGACAGTTTTGTCTATTCACCTTATATCTTACATTTGAAGGGTTGGGATGGACAAGTGGACAACTGAATCTGGATAGGCAAGTATAATATTTTCTCAAGCCTGCACAGGCAGTAATGTACTTTCTATGGGTGTTTTCATCTTCAGTTCCGTACATACAAGATAATCTATCGGCGCTATGCGGGTCTATTTTTCTCGCTGTGTGTTGATATAACAGACAACGAGTTGGCTTATTTGGAGTGCATCCACTTATTTGTGGAGATCTTGGATCACTTCTTCAGCAACGTGTGTGAGTTAGATTTGGTCTTCAACTTTCACAAGGTTAGACATTTCTTCCTATACCTCATTTGATATTCTTGAGGCACATTTGTTTGCATTAAAAATGTATCACTTTCCCTACAAAAGGTATACCTGATTCTAGACGAGTTCATTCTTGCTGGGGAGCTCCAAGAAACAAGCAAAAAGGTAAGAATTTTATAACTTCGGATTTTATTCTCATTTCTCTGCGAATCACGCGGATTTTCATAAGTTGCTTAGCTCCTTAAGTTAATGCTTGCTTTGTACCAAAAGAATAAGGCCATGTTTGGGTTGACATTGTTGGAATCTTTTGGCTAAGTGCAGGCCATCATAGAGAGAATGGGGGAATTGGAAAAGCAGGAGTGAAGTGTGGTAGACAGCAGTTGTCCCTGATTTTTTACTATTTATCTTGCAGTAAAAAAATATACTTTCACCTTGACTTGTCATCAGAGTACACCTGTGTTTTTCTTGTGCTTGTTTTAATTAGATTTGAATGTGGATCCTTTGTCTCCACTCTACCTGTAAATGGGGTTGAATATACTTTTGCTCAAAAATGGTGGTTTTCTTGCATTTTTCTTTTGCCCTACACCCTTCGAAGGAAGTTGACTATTCACATTGGAAATGTTTTAGATTACTTATGCAAAAGCAATTAGCTAAAACAAGGCTCCGTTTGGTCCACAAAATTTAAGCCATGAAATTAATGTTCGGTAATACAAAAATATGTGGATTTGGAATTGAATTCTAATTTCAAATTTTTCAAATGAATTCAAAAATGTGGATTTGGTAACATAAAAATATCTACATGAATTTGGAATCATAATAGTCTTTTAGGCAAAATATGACAAAACATCTTTGCCACATTGCAAGAACCCACAAATACATAATGACCTTGTACACTTTCCTTGCCTAGTTTGGTTGCAACATATTGTTTGATAATACAAGTACATCTACATTCTACTCTGTGAAGTGTATAAACTGAAGTGGCACCATGCAGCAGCCTAGACAGCAAAATCTATACCTATTGAAAAATGGGATTCCAACAAAGCAAAGTGAATACCCTCCCAAAATTGCACCCACTTCTGTGCCATTTGATTCTTACACAAAATCTTGATGTTAGACTACTCCAGATGGAATGCGCATCACGAGACTCCCGCCAAAAAGGCTGAAACGCAGACAAAAAAACATCCCAATTCAAAAACCACCGAGATATAATAATATATACTCTCTCCATCCCAAAAACAAAGTCACCCTTTGACTTCATAGAACTCGTTTAGAAGAGAAATATTTTGAGCCACATTTTATTTTCTTCAAAAGAAAATGTGAATGTGAGAAGTGTGACTTTAATTTTGGGACAACCAAAATAGGAAAGTGTGACTTTGTTTTAGGGAAACAGAGAGTACTCAGTAAATAAAAAATGTGAAATCAAACTAAGGATGGGATCACATCCTTAATTTGAGGTTAGAACATACCATTGAACATAGTAGTAGCAGAAATCAGCCAGGATAAAAGTTTGGACAATTTCAGAAAGGATGACCATTGGTGGCCACATTCCATTACCTAAAGCTGTTAACAACCTTCCTCGGGTATCTATCATCTACATAAATGTTTCATACCATTTATTACTAAACCACATTAGAGATACACAACAAAACATTACAGCGATAAGCATGCAGCAGGGATAGGCATATATATGGCATAATCAAACCTGGAGAATCCAGTGTGCACAGCTTAGGAACCTTGAAATTCCCAGTGCAAAAACATAACTTGCGGTGAATGGTTCAATAACCTTAACAAAAAAAATCCACAGGTCAAATTATGGTATGATAAGGTTCCATAACTTGAGAAGAGAACCGAGTTTTACTGTCTCTGGAGTACCTTTGTATTCTGCATGACATGCAGTTGTGGGAGTACTGAAACAGCTTCCATATACACACAAAATGCCCAACAAATGCGGTTGAATAAGTGATGGTTTGTGGATGGGTGGATAACTAGAGCTAGTACAACACATGGTACAACCTGTTCCCATATGAAATGAGCAAAAATAAGAAGAAATTATATACCAGGTATATCACCCCCACCCCAATAGAAATAATAATAATAATACTGTAATAATAATAAATGAGATAATAATATAATAATAAGGCGCGGGATAACTAACCAAATAGTACATTGAAAATGTATCTTTGTCATCCATAAAGCTGGAATTCAACTTAAAGCGGATGGTATAAATGACCCATATGGTTGTTGCCAACATAGCCAAGTCAAGCAGCGTATGTATGTCATACTCCATGACAATACTGCAATAAAGTCTTACCGCTAAAAACAAAGCTGTGAGATCCTGTGATTTCAGTGAAAGTCCTGAACAATGTTGATTTGATAAAACTCGTTAATAAACATGACAATACCAGCCCCTAGAAAGGGAAAGTATTTAACAGAATAAACAAGAATTGAATCGCCACTGACCCCAAACTAGTCGGGACTAAGGTGCTGATGATGATTGATGAAGATGATGATAATGATAAACAAGCATTGCAATCTTTTGATAAATTCGGATAACAAGTAAATAGACACTACATAACTTTAGGAAGAGCTTAGGGATCTGGCAACTATGCAAGGTCTTGAGGTCAGATTCTAATATGGAGTCATAAGCATACTTATACTTAAATGACATCATCTCTGATTCGCTGAAATTTTACACAATTTGTCTTATTTGAAAAAGGAATTATAAATCACTTAAAAGGGCATATCCTTTTACATGTAATTAGGTTCATTTTAATGATGAATATGATTAAGGCAAGTGACATATCACTATATCAGTGACTGTGTTTTGCATATGCTTCATATAAACTTAGGAAAAATGACAAGCACAACCTTTGGGGCTATGTTTAAACTTTAAAAATTAATCAGAGGAGAGTACTCTATTTAAATTCCATGAAATAATCAATCAATTACAGAGTAATTATTTATTTAGGATAACATTTGATAAATAACGGGGTATCTGCTATTGAAATGCTAAAAAGAAATAACATCCCCAGTAGGATTTAGTTAGTTCTTAAGGAATCATCAAGAATGTTCTTCCCAAATTAATGCTTAAACCCAGCCTTAAGGGTTGTGCTAGGTATTTATGAGCATGCAATTGACATGTAAGCACCATTTAAATTTCTGCATAGTGCATACCATATGGGTACCTTCAAGCAATAGAGATATTGGAGTTTTACAGTTTCGCACAACACCATCTCTCCAAAAATAATATTTTGTGTCCCTTCTTTTCCATTTTTGGTGTGTTCCGAAAAATTTTCCCACAAGCCAAATTTGGTATGAATTATGTGGCTCAAGTCAATTCATACTTTACAAATTCAATAACAATCACACAATTGCATTCTTTTCTGAATTTGTGTGCCATTCTGCCATGTCCCAAAAATAGTGGGGCAGAAGAAGTCATTAATTACTAATACAGAAATATCAAAAAAAAAGATTAACAAAAAATTAGAAAGATATTCCTATACATTTTAAAATATCTTAATCATATTTGAAATTTCCAAGTAAATGGGGATCAAAAGGAGACACTTTAGCGCAAGAAGCTCTGGATCATGCATTTAATATTGTATATGATCCAAGTCAATCCAAGCTTGTCTCTCTTTGAGACAAGATCATGTCACTCTTATATTATGGTATAACATAGGAGTATAATTTAAGGTTATGCACCAAAAACCTTTGACCTTAGGGTCACACAGACGTTGAAAAATACAACACGGTTATGCAAGCAGAATCATGCATCATAACGCTTACCCCCCACCAGAAACACTCTGTCCGTGATCAATTCTATGAAACTCTTAATAAAGAAAAAGCAAGCAGGTAAAGTGGCCTTTGTTCATAATTCAAACCGGTTGAATTAGGTTTTTAAAAAAAATTTAGATTGAAATGCTTATTAAGGGTACAAATTAATTTTGAAAAGTGAGGGTAATACTAAAACAAAACTGAAAACAAAGCCTGATATGGTTTTCTACATGACTGCATAATACATAATAAATTCAACAATCCATTGCTTGATCTCTATGCTGTAAATGGGAAATTTTGCCAACTTCTACGTTTCTCCTCGTGGAAAATTGCAGAGTAAAATGTCACAATTTCCCGAAATTGGCGTCAGAAGTCAGGTCAGAAATGGCAAAATCATTAAAACTGGAGTAATAATTAGGAGAGGGAGGCAAAATAATTATGACGGAGCGTACCAGCACAGGTTTTGCCCTTGGTGAGCTTGTAAATGAGGAGGGAAATGCCGATGGCGTGGACGGCCTCGGCGGCGATGAAGAGGTTATCGTGGTCCTCGACGACGAGGCGGAGGAAAAGGATGGCGGAGAAGGCAACTGCCAGTGCCAGAAACGCCTTCACCTTGGGCGGCTGCGCCTTCAGCCACGCCTTCACGGCGTTGATCGGCTTCTTCGCTCCCTTCATTGCGGTTTGCCTTTCACTCCGTGAATTCAGAAAGGGTGAAAAAACTCCCTCCCTTCAACAATGCTTTTTGTATTTGTATCCACCAAATTACACATAATAAGGGAAACCTTTTTTTCTTTTCTTTCTTCTCACCCACAAATCATACATGTGCAATTGTGTATCAGTATCATTCTTATTTCTTAGGGGTAGGCAAAAAATCCCAACTAGCATTATATCATACTGGACCGTAATGATACCAAATCTTTTATAGTATTTTTAAACGGGTTTGATTTTTTTCATCCCGAACCGATATCAAACGAGACATGACAATGATACAAAAATTTAAAACTGATTATCACGGACCAAAGCGTTCAAAGTTACGGAGTATGTCTAATACTTATTTATCTACTTCATCTTCACATATATGGAATACTTTGCATTGTATTATTCTTTTTTAATATTCTTTGATTGTTATTGTTGTTACTGTATTTATTATAACCACGAGCATTACTTTTTGCAAGTATTAATAGTCCAATATTTTACTCCATATATTTTATTATTATTGTATTTTAATAATATTTTGAAGTATCATTGGAAAATAAAATCTTATCAAGTACTCTGTATATTTTAAATTTGCACTCATTATCTTTTACGGAGTATTCTTCAAGTTTATAATACCTTTCAATTCAAAATCGTTATTTTTTTAAACAAAGTTGTGCAATTTCTTTAATATTATTTGAGTAATGTATGTTCAATTTTTTGGTACGATTTGGGCATGGGTATAGTATTATATTGCTCCGGTTCAAAATGAAATTACCAAATAGTTTTGGCGTTCATCACGTACTGATAACGAACTTTTTAAACAATAACGGTCCGCAATAGGTTCTGGTAGTATCACAAACCGACCAGTCCCACCCATTATCATTCTCAATTTGATTTTTTGTTCTAACATAAAAATGTGACCTCTTTCTTCCCTAAAAGACTCATATTTCTCAATATAGTATACTTCATCAAAAAAGACTTTTCATTTTCTTTTTAGTTTTGATAATTTTTATGTCACTCATAATCTTTCTCTCGTACATATTACTTTCAACAATTAAATATTGCTTTTCTTAAACTTTGTACCAAACTAACATGGAAAGGACAAAATATATAAAAAGATTTTTATAGACTCATAATCTTAAACCTCAATTCTCAAAGGTTATTCACTAGTATTTCTTTTTTACTTGTTTTTATAACAATTTGATAAAATAACGCAGTCTTTTCACAACTTATTTTATGCAGTATTTGATTTAATTTTGAATTATATAGTTTTAATTTGAATTTTGTACCATTTTTTATATAAATCACATTGGAAGTGATTTCAATCAACTATCGTAATGATGTAATCCGTTCTGCGATTTTAGTTATGAGACGGAGGAAGCATATATATACACACACACACTAATGGAATCCGCTACTCCAGCACACCGGTCTGATGAACTCATTATCAGACCAACACCACGACGGTAGTAAATCCGATAAATAAATACAAATATTTATGTAAATATAGTGTAAAGAAGTACTCTCTCCCTTCTAAAATCTTTTTTACATTTGACTTTTTATGTCAAACTTTACAAATTTTAACACTCTTTGGTGAAAAAAGTATATTTATATTAAAATGTAAATTTAAGATGTAATTTTGATAGATCAGTTTCTGTCATTTACGGAGTATTTGTGTACAAATATAATTACTAATGTTAAAGTGTCCCGTTGGTGACCATGAAAAATCAAATGTAAAATTCTTTTCGGGACGGATGGAGTAGATAAAAGGCACAAATCTTTTTAGATGATATCATGCCAATAGGAGATTTTTTTAATTAATATTTCGAAATTGTACATAGTACATAAATCATGCTTCGAGAGCCTCTAACGGAGCTCCTAAATTTCGAAGAAAATGATATCTTTGTGTGTATTGTACTCGTAGTAGCTAATGGATCTATTAATGGTGGAACGCCCACCCATAGCGTTCCCACATATAGTGAGTGGGTAAATTATGATAAAATTTTAAACTGATTCTTAGAAAAGTCACCTAGTGTAAAGTGATTAATGGATCTATTAATGGTCATATTTGTTGTGGACTTTGGTCCTTTTAGTGGTAGCAGTCCTATATATTGTTATTCGTTGAACTATGTTCAACTCATTTCGTTTCAAATGAGTTGTTCGTTGAACTCATTTCGTTGAACTATGTTCAACGAATCTCTGTCAACAAATTGTGGCCACGGCTCTACTTGTACACACGAAGACCCCTAGTTGTCCCTCTCTTTAGTACACTACTAATACTTTTCTTAATTGAGTAAGGCAACACCAATAATAATGTTTGAATGATTCTTTTGCAACAATGAGCTTTATGTCATCTTATGATTGATTAATGAATTAGGAGAAAACATGTATTCTTGATGTACTACTTGACAACTTTATTATAATAGATTTTAGTTTTGACTACTTGTAAGTAACAAGTTGGGACATTATAACTAATACGTATCCAAAAAAAATATTGTGACACTTCGACTGACACAAATTTGTTTAGATTGGTAGTAATATATTCATTAACAAAATAAGTATGGAATAATAAACTAAATATAAAGTTTTTTTGGGACATCTAAAAAAGAAAAGTGTAAATAATTTCTTGGAAGAGAGGGAGTAAGAAATCCTCCCAAATCAAGAGTTACCACAACACTCAAATGAATGCGTCCTTAATATCAAACTCTTAGCAACATCCTCCCAAGTAAGAGTAATATATGCCTTCATTTAAAGGTCTAGACTACTGTTTCTTCATCTGATCCTATGAATGAAAAACTGGGGATCCAGAAGTATATGTTCTGCTGATAAAATGTTTTTGTTTTTTAAATGCTCATCTTTCCCATAGACAGTTAAGTACGAGTAGTAAAGAAACAGTATAACACTAAAACTTGATCAAAAAAAGAAAGAAAGAAATACACGTAGTACATTTTAACAATAAGATCGAAACACACATGACAGTTCATCTGGATAATATATGGAGAAGAATTTAATTTCAAGAAAGAAAGAAACAAAGAAAGAAATTAAACATTCATTATACCATGCATGGATCACTTCGCACTGAACTTTGATAGAGGAGGTGGGCATGTTTTTGAATTACTCACCATATCCTTCATGCTCCTCCAACTCGCCTTCCTCCTCCTCCTCATCGTCGGCGGTGGCATCCTGGTACTGCTGATACTCCGCCACCAAGTCATTCATATTGCTCTCCGCCTCGGTGAACTCCATCTCGTCCATCCCTTCCCCAGTGTACCAGTGCAAGAACGCCTTCCGCCGGAACATCGCCGTGAACTGCTCGCTCACCCTCCGGAACATCTCCTGGATGGACGTCGAGTTCCCCACGAACGTCGACGCCATCCGGAGCCCGGTCGGGGGTATGTCGCACACGCTCGACTTCACGTTGTTCGGTATCCACTCCACGAAGTAGGACGAGTTCTTGTTCTGCACGTTGATCATCTGCTCGTCCACCTCCTTGGTGCTCATCTTGCCCCTGAACATGGCCGATGCCGTCAGGTACCGCCCGTGGCGTGGGTCCGCCGCGCACATCATGTTCTTCGAGTCCCACATCTGCTGGGTCAGCTCCGGGACCGTGAGGGAGATGTACTGCTGGGAGCCGCGGGAGGTCAGTGGGGCGAACCCAACCATGAAGAAGTGGAGACGCGGGAAGGGAATCAGGTTCACCGCCAGTTTCCGGAGATCGGAGTTCAGCTGGCCCGGGAACCTCAAGCAGCAGGTGACTCCACTCATCGTTGCAGAGATCAGATGGTTGAGGTCACCAACTACATACATACACAGTGGAAACAGCAAAATACATGAGTAAAATTCAGTGTCAAAAGAACCTTTAGTTTGTGATATAGTCTACTCTTATTGCAATTTAAGAATCACAATACGGATTAACTAATAAGCAAAATTTATAAGATGAACATAGCAGCACATATAAGTCATCCAAATTTCAAATCCCTCCCTGCTAAACCCCTCCAAAACCATCCACACAAAGAGATCAATAAAGAGTCAATAATGCTCGATTTAGTCCATTGGCTATAAACTATTACTCTCTTTGATCTTCAAATCAGTAATTTGGACCTAATTTAAATCTTGGGCATGTTTTCCTCTATTTAAGAGGCATTTTCATCCAGGGAAAACTGATTTAGATATAAATACATTTGATAAAAGAACGAAAATAACATGCATACTCATAATCAAGTATGTATGATGACTAGAATGTGTCTAAATTGCATAGTCAATGAATAAGTTGAGTCCGGGAAAATGGCACAAAAAACTCTTAAGTAAAACTATATATTCAAGGCACTAAATTGGGCATTAATTGTTCAGAATAAAGTTTACTCACAACTTGGGGTGCTAAGCTTCAGAGTCCTGAAGCAAATATCATAGAGTGCTTCATTATCAAGGACCATGCATTCATCAGCATTCTCCACCAGTTGATGAACTGAGAGTGTAGCATTGTATGGCTCCACAACCGTGTCGGAGACCTTGGGTGAGGGGAAAACAGAGAAGGTGAGCATCATTCTGTCTGGATACTCCTCTCTAATCTTTGAAATCAACAGAGTTCCCATGCCAGATCCAGTACCACCTCCTAGCGAGTGGCAAACCTGGAATCCTGCCGAGACAAAATCAAGAGCAAAATTAGGCAAAATCCTATGATCACATAATCAAATCATATTTTCCTTATTCCAATAGTAAATACAGCAAAAAATCAAAGCATCAGACTAGCTCCGGAAATCAAACAACAGAGATTCTCCACATTCAAACTAGTTTCGATGTTGAAAAACTCCTTAACTAAACCCTAGCGGATTGTATAATGTGCAAGGCCAATCCGGATTTGAAACCAGCAAATTTGAATTATAGTGCTCACATACATCTTCAAATTCATCTGGTTTATCGTGAGAGATAACACAAACACATCACACATGAATCTAAATAGCAGCGGTACCGAATCTCAATATGTGATCAGAGAGTCAAATCATATTTTCCTTACTCCAATACTAGTAAATACTGCCAAAAATCAAAGCATCCAACTAGTTCCTGAAATCAAACAACAGAGATTCTCCACATTCACACTAGTTCTGGATACTGAAAAGCTCCTTAACTAAACCCTAGCGGATTGTAGAATGTGCAAAGCCAATCCGGGATTGCAAATTTGAATTATAGAGCAAATTCATCTGGTTTATCGTGAAAGATAACACAAACACATGAAACTGAATAGCAGCGGTACGAAATCTCAATGTGTGAATCAGACAGATAGGATCGATGATCCTTGGAATGAAATTAATTTTAATGAAATGAGGCAAGGAGTAGATAACAAATTAACCTTGCAAGCAGTCACAGTTCTCAGCCTCCTTACGAACAACATCGAGAACCGCATCGATCAACTCAGCGCCTTCGGTGTAGTGACCCTTGGCCCAGTTGTTTCCGGCACCAGACTGTCCGAAGACGAAGTTATCAGGCCTGAAGATCTGGCCGTAAGGTCCTGATCGGATACTGTCCATGGTACCGGGCTCCAGATCCATGAGGACAGCGCGGGGGACATAGCGGCCGCCGGAAGCCTCATTGAAATAGACATTGATGCGCTCGAGTTGGATGTCGGAGACGGCGTCGGCAGTTTCTCCGCCCTTGTAACGGCCGGTAGGATCAACGCCGTGCTCGTCGCAGATGACTTCCCAGAACTTGGAGCCGATTTGGTTGCCGCATTGGCCTCCCTGAATGTGCAGGATCTCCCTCATGATTGATCGATTCTCTCTCGCTAGATTTTTTTGATCGGAGATGGAGTGGGAATGGGTATCAGGGTAGAGCGAGAGCGTTTCGAAAAGAGGTTGAACGAGTGAAGTGAAGAAGAGTTGGGAAATGGGAAGAAGACGTGACAGTAGAAAACGGACAATATAACCGCTGGAGCCAGGAGTGGGCGAGGCTCACACGTGGGCTCCATAGTTATGGCTGTTTGATTCTAATAATTTTTTTTATTTTATCAAATCAACTAAAATGACTAAATAAACAAAAGTTATTGAAAAACTTTAATAGTAATTGTTGCTTATATTTCGTGAGGGAGGGAGTAGCATTTTCTTCGTTTCAAGTTATAGATTCCAATTTGATCGTTACAATCAAAATCAATCAAATTTGATCGTTGATTACTCATACATATTCAAGTTTTATAATGTATGAAAATTTAATATATAAAACTTGTATCAAAATAAATTTAATCTAATGTATTTTTATTTGATAAAATAATCTTCTTATCACATCTTGCTTTTTAGAACTTTTGATACAATTTTTAAATATATAAATAATACTTTTATTTTCATTACAAATTTCAAATAAACTGATTTGAAAATAATTTTAGTCAAACCTTACACACAAAAATAGAAGATTCAAATTGGGACGGGATGCGTGTCTGATAAAATAATTGTTTATCCGTGAGGTCATATGTTATCATGCATGAGGGAGGGCCTCACTACCTCCTTCACGCCCATTGCACGGTTGCGAGTCTGATAAAATAATTTGTCGGCGTCGATATTTCATTGGAGGGGCGTGGCCCCTTATTGCGTGATGGTCATCCCATCGCTTTTTTGTCACGCTCTTCATTCAAATCTCAAAACACACATGTTTCTATCACTCTACGTTACACTACATCAAGTCCCGTCAAGACCACCATAACACATGGTCTAATGGCTAATAGTACACCACTACTCCCCACTTTAAATTGGTCAACAAGAATTGACGGGAGAAATGGAGAATCGATTGCTTCCAAGCCGTAATATTGCAAATAGTAATAACGTTATTCATAATTTTATGTACTCCGTAATGCTCCACAATTATACACCGACTCAATCAATCTTTGCAATTTCGACAGCGTGTCATGGGTCTGGCCGTCCGTCTACTTGGATTGATATATTATTCGATTATTTGTTTTAAGGTATGGAGTTCCATCACAGGAACACCGACAAATTATTTGTCCGCCCTTTGGTCATTTGATTTATATCTAATCTGAATTAATTCTAACAAAAATATAAATAAATACGAAGAATAAGTTGAATAGAACAAGCTCTTAGTAAACAAATGACCACACAAATCGATTAAAATCAGTCTTTTGGGACCAAAAAAATTAGGCAACATTTAATTTTCAAAGCAATATGGACCAGGTTTTCTTCCCCATATGAGTAAAAGAGCAGTCCTTTGAAGGACGCATTAAGTTATCATCACATGACAATGCCATGGGAATGGCCAAGCTTGACCAACCTGCCATGCTAACAACATCTGACATGTTCAATATACCATAAATGTGTTGTTCCTTTGGCACACCTACTACGGTACCCTAAGAATTTGTACACCGCAGAGATGAATCAACATTTTGTGTTAGTGTAATGTTAATTTTTGTTAAAGCACCAAGACTTTGTGTCAGTGTAAATTTTTGGTAACGCATGTGGACAATCAAAATGTTGGTGCATGCCTTTGGTGCACAAATGTGGTACAAATTTTGGGGTACATGTAGCATGCTCCTTTTTTATTTTATTTAAAGCTTGAAATGGTACCCTTTTTTAGCTTAATTTTTTGGGAGAGGAGTAATTATATGGAACAAACAGCTGAAATGGAGCACCAATTTAACAAAAGTACCAACACAGCATTTTACATTCCTAGAGCTTAAGTACATGTTAATTGTCTCAGGGATGAAATGGTACATTAACCTTATGAACAATCATCGTCATAGCCTCCAAGCAACTATGTCAACGTTGCTGAATGTGCTGGAGAACTGCTTCATTACAGTACTTTTTGAAGTTCAGGCATTCCTCCACTAGAAAATCACTGCGATTTGATTCATAACAGCTTGTATTACAATGTGAAAGCCCGTCAAATCTTAAAGACATTGTTTGGAATGGCTTATTACGTCCATGAATTGGGGTGTGAAATAGCCGGAATTGCTATGGGTTTTGCCCCATTTCATAGAAATTGAGTGAATTTTGGTCATTCCAAACACAGCCTCGTCAAATTTGGGTATTTCAATTGAATTCCTAGTAACTTAATTCACAGAAATTTCTTCCAACCATTAGATCATTACAAATGATGTCTAAAAATGAACCGGAAGAGACTTACAAGATCCTTTCCGCCATTTCTGATAGTTCCCACCTAGGACTCCACGGATATTCAGTCATGGCAAGAGATTTGAGGGGCACATTGACCGAATTGAAGTGCTATTTAGAGAAGCCAAACATGAAATAATTAACACAACAATAAGGAACTTGAAAATTCGGAAAGGAGAACCATGCAAAGGTCGAAAACATTGATTATATATATAAACCTGTGTGCTCTGCAGCATCATGCTTGGACGTTGCTTGGGGAACTGAAGCGGGATGGAGATGTGTACCTAATAAATAATTTTTTTTTAAAAAAAAACTTAATAAGATGAGATTAGATGCTACAATATGAAAATAATCTTCCAAAGAACATGTGCAGCTTCCTTTGAATAAACTGGAAACTTTTTTGTGGACGAAAAAAATCTCCTCCTTCCCATAAAAGAGTCATGTTTTGCAAAGGTACAACTTAGAAATTCTTGGTAAGATACAACTCTTAAAAATCATAAAATATAGAATTATTTTTAAATCCATTTGTTGGATTGATTATATTTAACTCACTAAATTGTTTAGGACACTTTTTATAGAGAAAAACATTCAATATGATGAATATTAGCTTCTTTTGCTCAAATATCTCTCTTTCCCAGAAAATTAAGTTTTTAAAAAGGGTTCTTTTTTGGGATGAAGGGAGAATTTGAAACTGGACTCTTTTTTCGGGTCAAAGGGAGTAATTATTATGCCAAGTTGCGAACCAACAAAGGAATACTGAACAGGAAAAATTCAAACAGATTCAACACACAATAGTATATCATACAGGGAACCATAAAGCAAGCAATGCATAACCTGTTGCCTATTACAGAGCAATATATAGTGGCATTATACTCTCATTCTGATTTCTGGTTTCTAGATATTCCGTCTTATGAAAAAGAAAATTGCATCCATGCACTAAAGTAAACATCCAAAGGAAAATACTCCCTCTGGTCCTATTTAAAATGCACAGTTTTGACTTCCACACATACCAAGGAATAATTAAGATCATGTAAAATAATACTTTTTCCTAATGTCCGTCCGTATTTGATGGAACTTCACTATCCACAACAATCTCAATAGCAAATAAGGTTACTTCATTTAATAGGGGAAGTTGTGGAAAAATAAATAAAATATGCACTGAAAGCCTAAAATGACTTGTATTTAGGGCCATCCTGGTGTACTCTATAAATAGCACCAGAGGGAGTATACAATTTTTCAGTAATCCCATTTCATCATAATGGCCTTTTTCATCTGTGTCGATTTTTATGTTTTAAAATTGAAAACATAAATTCCTACTCATTTCAAAAATAAATATATTCCTTAAGAAGAGAGCAATTGCCTTGGTTGTACAACCCCCTTTGTCTATAAACACAAACACACACATGACACATGTACACAAGTAAAATGAAAATCATTAGTATTGGATTTAATGTTCAAAAAACATTCTGCTCTATCATCCAGTCATTTAGTAGAGTAAGATTAGCGTCCATCAACAATGGAACTAAAATTGTCTCTGGTTATAATGTTTTAGCTTCAGGAAAAAAAGACTAAATCAAAATGGCACATTACACTTCACTTGGTTCTTTTTATGAAGTTTTGGGAAGTGAATGCAGCAACACATCAAGGGTCTAAGTGAAGCAACCTCTCTGTTTATTACAGGGGAATGCATACATTTAGACCCCAATGCCCTAGGGAATTCATGTAAATTTGTTTATAGACGTATAGGCAGAGGCAGATTAACATACCATAAAACTGAAAAGGCCTGATTGTGCTAGAAAGCTAGCCTTCCTGCAGAAAACCTGCAGGCATATTAGCAAGTAAAAGCTCAGCTTTGAATTTCTTTACCAAATGTCATCATTGAATAAACAAAAATATCACACACCGGATCAGCTTCAAGTGGCCTTCCCAAAAGAGGAGCTAAGGCCATGATGAATTTCCTTCTGGTTTCAATGGATGAAACTGCATCTTTAATCTATCACCAATGAATCAAAGGGTGAAAAGTATAAATTACTTAATTGTAATTTTATTTACTATTAAAGCTGTAAAAGTGCAATTTAATGAGAAAACATTCACTCTGTCAAAAAACAGATGAAGCTAACCTGTGTTGCAAGCATGACTTCCAAATTTGGAAGGTATTCAGCAGTGCACCTAAGGGAAAAAAAATAGGACTGTGAAAATAAAATAAGGAAAATATCTTCAAGAAAGAAAATTCGCTAAACAATGTTGCAGTGATAACATATTATACATTCCATCCACCCATGAAGGAAGCCTGAAATCTTCAACAGAAAATACTGATTTCAATTCAGAAGAGGAAACCAACTTCAGGCGTGGGGCCAAGTATTTTCTGCCGACAGGAAATATGACCTGTTGCATTACCAAAACATTAAAGTAATAATGGGTAACTGAAAGAATAGAAAAGGCTAAAGACAACAAATAATGTGTATTACTCTTTTGACATGTAGTTCTCATCTAACACTATTATTTGTTACGTGAAGTGCCAGTGTCACTTGGTTCAAATTCATAATAATAATGCTAAAAACAACAACAATAAGATTAACAATGATAATGTATCCCTCAAATTAGAAAGCTTCCAATTACATATATTTTGTGTTTTTATCTGAAGCAAACAACACAGTAATTTGTTTCATTCATAACCATCAGGATCGAAATGCAACTCGAGCTACTTTTTTATGCTGATGCATTGGCAGTGTATAGGGGATACAGGGGATACGATACATATAAACACAAAATAAGAAGGAAAAAAATTCTTAAACAGAAAGACTTGTAAATAGTAAATACATCCTACAGAGACAGACCTGTAAATATATTTTCTGCTGATGTTTCCAAATTGATCCCACAACCATCTTGTTCAAGTCCAAATCCAGTAAAGGTATGGAAAATTTGACCTCTTCTGGCTACACTAAGTTAATGGCAAAAACAAAGCACAAGTAGTCAAGCATTTTGCACAGCATATCTTACTCAACTTCTACTGCAGAGTAATGTTTGTTTTCATAACATACCTTGTCAAACACGGAAGTCAAAAAATACTCAATTCCCTGCAAAAAACAGTTTAAAATCCGTCTATTCTGTCATTGTGGTAAATACAGGTTGAAATAGAATGACACTCACATAAAGCCTATTGTGTATACACTTATAGAGGATGCAATAAAGGCAAATACATTTCACATTTGAAGATCAGAGTCCCATTATCAAAGAAAATACAACTACTATCCAACCATTCAAGTTTCTACACCAGACAATCTCCAGATCAAACAAAACTCTTACCTCTCTTGGAAGCATAGTGCTGAATTCGAACTTTAACCTGTCATCATCAACCCCTGCAACTCGTTTCCTCTGGTAAGCCATATACAACTCCCTACCAACAAACACACAAAACGTCAATAATTCCACCCCCAAAATGGGCTCAAGACAAACCCTAAAGTTATGAGAGGCCGTAACCTGAGCTCAAGAATGAGTGACAAAAGCCGAGAGGGATCTTTGTTGTTCCAGTCAGTCAATGCATTTTTCTTCTCCCCTGCATCATCAACGCTATGATATGGCTGAAAGCTCTCATCATCTGGCCCAAATATTACATCCGGTGCCGTGAGTGGATAAGCTGCATTGTATATAACATCCCCTGCTCAAATTAAAAAATTGCAAGTCCTCATTAGTTATTCATACATGTCCAGAAACCTAAATTGGAATAGTGCAATACCAACATTTTATGATGCCAAGGCAAAAGGGGATAGCTATGGTGAAGCGATCAAAAATACACAGGCCAAGGTTTTTTCCACCACACCACATTTGTTCTACCTGTAATACAAACATGAAAGTTCATCACTGAGAGCTCATATATGCGAGAAAGTGAGTGATAGGGAGACCGTGACTGTGACCCCAAATGGATAGGGTTTAAGAACCTTGATTGGAAATGGACAGTTAGAGATGAGGTAATTGAGCTGAGCGGCGATATGAGGAGGAACGGGATCGATTGCCATAGCCTCAAGCAAAGAAAGCACGTTCTCGGATGTTCCCGGCGAAGCGCCGCCGGCCTCGTGGTTCCCGGCGACCCGCCACCGAGGTCAGGCAGGACTAGTTAACTGACTCTAGCCGGTTACACTCGTTCAAAAAATCCAAATAATCTCAAATTATTTTTTCTTATTGTTATTAAAATCACATCAGATCAGATCGAATTAGATCAGATCTAATCAGATTAGATTAGATTTCATCAAAAATTATTATTATTGTTATTATTATTATTATTGTTATCATCATCATCATCATTATTATTATTCATAAAAAAAATAAACTTTAGAAACAAGTTAAATATAAAATTGAGAAAGTAATCATTATTTATTAGAAATCGTAAAAATTATTTTTAAACTACATTGACAATATCAATCTAATTCTACTTTTAAAATACATTTTTATTTCTATATATAATTTGAGTTTCTAAAATTTTGATCTTTTATAAAGATGATATATTTTAATAAATATACAATCTATTCTATATTATGATTATCTAAATTTAATTACTTTTTAATGTATATATAAATTAAATATTTATTCTAATGTATATATATATGAAGTTATTATTAAAATATTAAATTAATATTCTAATTTCACAAAAAAATAATCATAAAATAAAAAATATTATTAAATTATAATATGAATGATTATTCTAATATATGAATTAAATAATTTTATTTTATTAAAAAATAATCATAAAATAAAAAATATTGATTATATTATAATACGAATTATCATTACAATTTTCAAACGTTATTATAAAGTCAAATCAAATTATTGATTTGAATTTTAAATGAAATCATAATTAATGAGATCACATCCAATCAGATCACACCAAACTACATCAGATCAGAATCATAAAAAATTAAATCAGATCAGAAAAAATCTTATACTCATACCCCCCTAAGGTCTTTCTAGCTTCAAAATCTTATACTCATACCCCTTCTTATTATTTTCAAGCTATTTTTCTGACGAAAAAGGAAGCATTGGTGCACATTTTTCTCATATTACAATTTTTTACAAAAAAAATAATTGAGAGCTACATAAGATAAAAAAACTAAAATAGGGGTAAAACGTAAAAAGTGTAAAAAAAAAATATATATCTTTATTCCAAAAAAGAGTTACAATGAAATAATAAAATGTCAATCATGTAAGAAAAAATAAGTTTTATTACATCATGTGACATTCTGATAATTAAAACAAAATCTTGTAATATATATGGTATAATTATAAATATATTATTTATATTAAATACTGCATAAATAAAGTGATGTGCAACGTAACCACAATAGCTTTTTAAAATTTAACATTTTAAATTTTATGCTAACTTTATATCATATTTATTTTTTTGAAAAGGTAGTTTTTTGTGTATGAAAAATCACAATACTATTTTTTATCTTAAATGCATTCATTAGGATAACATGATGATAATGATGATGATGACAATAATAATAATAATAATAATAATAATAACAACAATTTATAATAACAAGAACTATAATGAGAATAATATAAAAATGTACTAAAATAAATTAATTTAAAGTTTTTTTAATTTTTCCATTTTTTTTGAAGTTTTTCCAACTCTTTGAAGTTTTTGCTAGATTTTTATAGTTCTCTCAGTTTCTTCTAATTCAGTTTCTTCCAGTTTCTTACAACACCCAACTTATTTTTTCCAATCATAAAGAACGGATTCTAAATCATAAGGGCACCAGTACTCAATTTTTATTTCTCGTTTGTTTTTTGTTTTTTCCATTTTCTAATCTATTTGTTTCTTTTATTAATCAAGATTTTGTAAATTTCTTTTTAAAACTATTTTTATAGCGTTCTTAAAATTATTGTTATTTGAAAAAACTAACATATAGTGCATTTTTACATCTCAAATAAAAGAGTAATTTTTTTTGAAAACTTCAAAAAACAAGGAATAAAAAAACAAAAAAATGAATATCCTTTTCAAACATCCGAATTCTAAGGATTGTTTTAGATGCTCCGAAATTGCTTTTTAAATAAGACTCTTTTGTGCATATTTTATTTTTTTTCATTTTGTTTTTCTATATTTTATTTTTTTATTCTGGATTTTCTCTTTGAGCTTTCCAAAAAAATCTTTTAAAAAACAAACAATTGAAAATGTTTAATTTGAGATAGATGTAGTGTATGTTAATTTTTTATATTTCAAACATAAATAAATTTGAATGAAAAATACATTATAAAAATTAAAAAGAAATTAAAAAATATGACTGGTCCGGTGCTTTTGCTCGCCCAAGGTTATAATCGTAATTAAACATTCAAAAGAAACCCTAAATCGGTCGTTCCACGCCTTTATATTAATCGATAATCATCATCTTCTTCCTCCTCGGCCGCGTCCATGGATCCTTCCTGGTCTTCTCATCACTTCACTTTCAACTTCTATGTCCATTTAAATCTCTCTGTTTCTGTTTCTATTTTTTTTCCCAGAATGATGAGTTTGGATTAAATATCTCACGACGGTCGTCTGAGCAGCCAATCGGCTTTCTGATGAAATAATCCATAGAATCTGACTTCGTTTCTTGTCTGAATCGGTTTTGATTTTAATGTCCGGTGAAATTTGTTCATCAATTGGGTCTGAAGTTTGACTCTTTGGCACCATTAATGGCCATGCCTCAGGGATGAATGCAGAACCCTAAATCACAGTTCTTCCTTCTGTTGAAATTTGGGCGAAGTCTCTTTTTTGATCTCACCCAACATATTTGAAGGGTACATTTTAAGAAATCAAAATTGGAGGAAATTTGTATATTGATTCTGCAGGATTCAAAAAATTGCTGGTGAGTACTCCTAATTTTGTAATAAGAACTCTCAATTCCCATTGTTTTTCAAAATATACTTCGAAATACAAATCTAATATTATTATTTTTTATTTTAGGGTTAACTTTTATCAATTTTTACCGAAAAAATCAAAAGTAATAATAATAACTAGTGGTATTTTTATAAAAAAGTATAGAAGTAAAATCACTAATTAATTGTTTAAAATAGTTAACAGTATTAATAATAAGTGTTTTTTATAATAAGTGTTATTTTTCTAAATAACAATTAGTCTTTTTATAGAAAAGAGTGGTAAAACTAACAATTAATTTTTAATAATAATAGTAATAATAATAAATTAAAAATTAATACTAATAATAATAGAATAAGAAAATAATAATTAATAACAAATAATAATAATTATAATAGAAGAAGAATAAAAAACAAAACAAAAAGTAAAAGAAGAAAAAAAACGGGGGTGGGGGGGGGAGAATGGACTGGAAGGCGAAAGAGAAAGAAGAAGATAAGAAAAAAGGAGAAAAGAAAAGAAGAAGAAGAAGAAGAGAAGAGGAGGAGAAGAAAAAGAAGATAACGGAAGAAGGGATGCTAACGGAGAGAGTGACGGATTGTCACTCTGGAGTCAATTTTCGAATATCTTAAGGTATCTCGGAGTATGTTTTGAAAAACAATGAGACTTGAGAGTTCTTATTATAAAATTAGGGGTACTCAGTAGTAATTTTTTGTGCAGGATTTGATGTTTTCGAAATTAAACAAAAAAATAAATTGAAGGCTCTTTTTTGTAGACTCTTTTACTTTGATTTTCTGTTTTCATCTGATTATTTGTTTGTTTTGATATTTGTTCTGATCCAACCAAACAGAGCCTTAATGTTAAATTACCCTTATGAACATTTTACATTCATTCCCACTTTCTAATCGATATCTTTGTGTTTGCAGAAGTCTTATATTTACATAGTTACAGAGTATATTTCATCATAGCTAAAGTTAAAACTTAAATTGGTGTGATTTATTAATGATTCACCAATACAAAATTCCATAATAAGTGATCTTTTGTTGGGTTGACAAACTTATTATTAAGAAAGATGTTAATATAAGTAAACAAATTCCCTTCTTAATGTTACAAAAAACGAGCGGTGAAGAAAACCTACCGGCACAAATCAAGGCCGGCCCAAGGGCTATGCCACATTGCTCAATTGCACGGGCTTAGGGGTGATTAAATTAATTGGACCGACTGCTACGAGAGAGAGAAAAAGGGGGTTCTACACAAGAATATTATTGGGAAATTCAAGAAGTCTTGATGAATAGAGGAGAAATTTTTTGTATATTATCTTGAAATAATGAAAATATTTTTTTTCTTTAATATATTCTCATTTTTCTGGCTTTCTGAATATTTTTTGTTTCTTACGTGCTTAAAAATCCCAAATATATATATATATATTTGTGTGTGTATATATCTCTAAAACGGTCTGTAATGACAAAATATTTAGGGGCTGTTTGTTTCAGCCTCTTAATGATTCAGATGTCTGAATGGTTAAGAGATTTGCTTTTGAATGATTAAGTATTATACAAAGTCTGAATGGTTAAGAGCTTTTATCTGAATCGATCAGACATTTGTCTCTGAATAGTTAAACAATATACTAGCTCTTAATAGTTCAGACCTCTTACTGGTTTAGCACTTAATGGTTCAGACCTCTTACTGGTTCAGCACTTATCTATTCAGAAGTTGTCAAACAACCCCTTAGTATCACAAGCTGAATAAATATTGTGATTGTATCACTTCCATTGCTGAAACACATTGGCCGGCTACATCAGGAAATCTCAATACCCAAATCACTTTTATATTAAAAAACATGGTGTTCTCACACTTCCAACCTCTTCTTCGTATAAGCCCTAATCACATTCTCGATATGACATAGATAAAAATTCTAATATATGAATTGAATTTAAAAGTGAACATGACAATTTTTCTCAATCCAACTTTTATTAAGATCTCGATACACCCAACATTTTTTGTAGAGTTGTCCGGCTCTCAATGTCATCTTAAATTAATACTTTTAATCATGTCTTTTACTCGTTAAACTGCAACATGAAATTGATTGAAAGTGATTATCAACATGGTTACACATGGTTTTGAAACGACAATGTTTGACTTTTACTTTGTTAATACTTTCTGCGAAACAAAAATCTATTGAAAATTGTTTTCTTTGAAAGTTTCAAGAATAATCTTAGATACAGTTGTATTATATTTATTTGATTTATGTAATTTTTTTTTACTCAACGATCAACATTAATTCATAAGACTACACGTGCACCGATGATCATTGTTGGATCCACCTTAGCTCAAGGTAATTGGGGGCATGGCCTCTACTACCATTTGCCTTTAAACGTCTCGGGACTTCAAACTTTCTCTCTCTGCATGTCAGCTTTAACTTACACCAAAAATTCACTGGAAATGGGTTTGAAGCCCAGAGGCTTCAAACTGGAGCTTCAAACCTTCATTTTTAAAATTTTTAAATATACATCTTCTAAATTTAAATTCATAAATTTAAATTAATCGCAATGAGAATAGTACATTAAAAAATTACATTCTTTAAAAAAAATATTACATTCATAAAAAAATACATTCATTAAAAAAATTACATTCATTAAAAAAATGACATTCATAAAAAATTACATTCATTAAAAAAATATTACATTAAAAAAACAACACTACAAAGAAATCATTAATTATTCGAGCGACTAAAGATATGTTCGATCCAATCCGCCGTTAGTGTATTGTGAATCTTTCGGCTTCGAATTTCTTGGCAGTTTCTTCGATCCCAGTTTAAACATTGTCATCGGGTCCGTCGTCGGGAGGATTCGGCTTCTTCTTCATGGCCTTCTTCCTACCATTGAATACAATTCGTGGCGAAACAACGAAAAAAGAGAGCTCTTTTTTTCATCGTCGGATTAAGATCATCCCATTTTTAAAATATATTTTATAAATATTTATAATAAATAATAAATATTTTAGAGAGAAGATAGAGAGATGTGTGAGAGAGAATGATTTTTTAGGGGAATTTATAGGGTTTTTTTTATTTTTGATTTTTT